AACTTGTTTTACACATTTAACGACCAAATGATTTGAAATATTCGTAAAATTTTTGATGAGCTGATTGTAAAATAATATCCACCAGCATAAACAAATTTTTTTTTTTGCCAGTTGGGAAGGTGTATAACCGTGGTCCAGCATCATCAACATCCGAAATGAGGTGGTGGTGCTCAGTACACACTAAAGACATTCCGAGACATTTAAAATCATGCCAAGTGCTTTTCTCGGGAGCGCTATTCCGTCAGGAGACGAAACAAATGTTGGGATCGTCAGCTGGCTGACTGTCAGAAGATGCAGCTCTGCGTAAAGCAACTACTAATGCAGAAAGTAACTCAGGCTATGAGTTAACAACCATTCAATGGCTACTGCATGCGCACATGGCTCAGTCAGTTTTCTTGCTCATTATTTCTTCCACCGTCACTACAGCCGGCTTTCTCCGCATCAACTCATTCTGGCCTGTGACTTGTCCGCTCAAAATCCTGTAAATCCCGTTAAAAAGAGATAAGGAATCATTCAGTTACCAGCTGAGCCTTGCCGAAAAGATTTTTCATCGCGGAGTACTGTGCTATGTAAGACTTAAGATTAGAGTGCACAGAACAGTGGGAGTGACCCAATATTTAAACTGGACTCTGGCTGCTCTCGAACAATTAAATATGGTTTTACGAACACCGAGGAGGCTCTCGTACATACTTGCTCATTCTCAGGTTTTAATGAACGATTCAGCAATCGATAAAACGAGCCACTTCTATAAACTCACATCAAAACACGGAAGGTGAATTTCCAGTGTTCCGACAAACACACACACATATAACCCAACAAAACCAGCAATTTTCCCAAATCACACAGTTTTTTTTTTCTTTTTACTTTTTGAATTTTATGAACCGATAATACTAAGAAATTAAAGTATTCATAATCATTCTAAAGCCTGAAATAATCAGTGATTAATGCAAGATTCATTTAACAAGAAAAACGACCAACTGTACGCTGATAAAGAAGTTTGATAGACCGAAGTAATCCCCCAACCTCCAACCCAAAAAAAAACCAATTATCAATTTTAATAAAATAAAGCCCAATCTATAGCACATTGTGTACGAGAGGCGGATGCATTCGGAAGCAACTCGAGTAACTAGCAACTGGCAAGGCTCCCCCAGGAGAAGGAATCTGCCACCAAAACGAATGAACGAATAGCACAGGGAGCGACCATCTCAGTAGCGGTGCCGAAACCTTAACTTTCAAGATAAGGGTGGCGCTACTTATCACTACACCATGCCCGCCATCATGGCTTTTTAATAAAATTAACACTATAAGTAATAAAAAAAAAAAACACCAAAAATGTAAAGCAATCGCTAACAAATGGTAGTTCCACCTCATTTATAAAACGCGAATATAACCGTAACTTTTTTGTACCAGTAAATGCTCGTGCTGTTCTTAGTGTCAGTTCCAACGTTACTGAGAATGTACTAGCACTGCTACAATACCAGGCCACCCACCAACCAATTTCGGGATATGAAAGAGATGCGTTCACTGAGTGCGTAGCGGATTTATCCGGCTTTTTGTCCGAACATCCAATCTTGAATTATGCCCGAGTAGTTGCCCTCGGCACCAATCACATCTGACCACTGCCAGCAAAGCAAAATGACATGCCCGTCCGTCCTTTTCCATGCTCTTTCATGGTCCCAATAACTAAAAGCTATACTTTTTATATGATAGCAAAAATTGCGCTGCGCTGCATGCATCCCCAGCTCCATCGCTTTCTTCGTCACAACCAGCGTTCATTCTAGCTTCATATCCGTATGCTAACAGCAGCAACGGAATGGTACAGAAACAATCCCAGCGACGCGGACACACGGCGAAACCGTGAGAAATCCGACAGTCTTTCGACACATAGCCCTCCACTGGAGACTGCAGTGCAGATTCCCTTCCCGGCCAAGGCAAACATTACTGACAACTTCCAAATCAATACCGCCGCAGTCTGATCGTCACCTATAGTAACCATTCCTGAAGCACTAAGCACCTGCAGCATCTCGTTCATTTTAC